GTTGACAAATATGTGATTTATAATATTCTGTATTTCTTATGTATGATTGGTGTTCTTTGATTCTTTTATGTAATGGTCTTGAGCTTTATCCTATATAAAATTTATTGCATTCGCAAGGAATTTTATAAATTACATTTTTTATATTTTCAATTTTGTGATAAGGTATCCAAGAGGTATATCAAGAAAGTCCTAATCTTAAATTTTTTACCTACTCGTTTAATTTGATCTGGAAGTCCTGGAATAAATGGAATAAAAAGGTTTGTAATAGGTTTATTTTAATTTTGTTTTGTTTGTGGGAATTCAATTTCGTTAAAACATTTTTCAATAAAAGAATTTGGATAATTATTGAAATTTAAAATTTCTTTTATAAATTGTTTTTCTTTGGAAAAATTAGATTGATTACAAATTATTTTTGCTCTGTCATATAGACTTTGCACGATACCGTTTTTAACCATTATCGGGTGATTTGAGTTGAAATTGAAATATCGGTTAGTATGAGTAGGTTTTCTATAGATCAAGGTTTCGAAATTGTCTAATTTTTTTTGAATCAGTATATCGAGAAAAGAACTTTGGTGATTTTGTTCTTTTTCAATATTGAATTTAATTGTTGGTTCTTCATTATTCAGATAAGATATAAATTCATCAAGTTTTTGTTCGCCATGACTGTAAATGGAGAATACGTCATCAGTATTACGCCACCAAATTATTGGTTTAAATTTGTAATTATTAATGAAAGTTGATTCAAAATTTTCCATAAATAAATGACTGAAAAATGGAGATAGTGGTAACCCCATAGCCATTCCAAAATTTTGCTGATAAAAATTGTCATTGTATTGAGAATAAGTTGACTTTACACATATTGTTAAAAGTTCAATAATGGTGTTAATGCTTAGTTGTGTACGTTCTTTAAGATTGACGTCATTTTGTAATTTTTGTTTGATGATATTTAAAGTTTTATCACCAGGAACGTTAGTGAATAGACTAACAATATGAAAACTTACTAGAATATGGTTTGGATTTATGTCTTTGTCTGATAATTTTTGTAAAAAATGTTCAGAATTTTTAATATAGGAAGTTGTGTTATTTATTAGGGGATTTAAAAAGTTTAAAAGATATTTGGCTAAGGGATGTGTAGGTGAATTTATACTACTAACTATTGGTCGTAAAGGAATATTAACTTTGTGAATTTTTGGAACTCCGTAAAAATGTGGTGTTTTACTATTGTGTGGTGTTAATTTTGATTTTTAATTTTAATTAAAAAAAATGAATCCGCCTCAACAATATAGAACTTATCAATAAATGCATAGTTGCAGATTTCCAAGTGTCGCTTAATCTAATTATCCGAAAAGAAGCATTTGCTAGAGTATGCCCATGTGTCTTAAGAATTGAGGGAATAACCCATATTTAGGGTTAGCAAGGGTAATTAGCATATAAGCCCTCGCTCCTTAAGATTTTGCAAAGAGAAATTGATATATCTTTTCAAGTTTGATCAATTAAATGTGCACAATGTTTAATAGTTAGTGTCGGCATGTAGAAAAAGTGGACTGTATTTCTTCTGCGCGAAACGATAAAACCCAACAACTACTTAATCTTTTTGATCACCCAAGCGACGAATCCAAATCCAAGTATCGGAAAAATTAATTACGATATATATTTTCAAATTTTTACAGCCGCACCTGTTTCGTTATTATTATAAAAGTTACTCCGGATACTAAAACAACGAAGCTTAAAAAAACATCTTTGTTGCACCACTCGACGAAACTTGCGTAGGCGCGAGAGATGCATGAGTTTCATATTTTTTCTCATTTCCGCACAATTAGTTAAGTTTAGTTCTTTGAGAAAATAGAGAATAAAGTTTTTTTCTATGCTTTCTCATGCATCATTGATTTCGTCTTCTGGTAGGTTAGCAATCGTGATGTCCGGTATTTGGAGCTCGAAGTTGAAGCTTTCGAATTGTTGCCAACAGTTTTGATTTTCAGTGAAGAAGTTTTGAAAATCATTTTTCTGGGGTAGATAAAGTTCACTTCATAATCATGTCCAGCTTGTTTCCCCGGTTACATTTAATTGTAACTGCAAGTGTGGTTGTTGGAGTCAGCAATAGTTTTCCGTTTGATAATTGCTGAAGGGTGAGTTTTTTGCATTGAAGTTTTATGAGAAAAAAAAATTATTTGTCGTTTCATGATGAGGTTTTCAAGACATTTGTCAGGTTGGGTTTTGGTGCTTGATTACATAGAAACCAAGTTTAATTTATATTATCTATACGATTTTGAAAATACCTTCTAAGTTTGCGTAACGTAGACTTTGGATTTAAGATGACTCCAAAAACATCCAGAGGAGTCACATCAACTGTCCATTCCAACGGACCACGTCAGCCAAGCCACTCTTCTGGAAATACATGGGCTTATTCCAGCTTCTCTCAAATATGAGTGAAGTGCTGTTGAATGATAACTACATTTTCAAACGTTACTTCTTAAACCTGATGAATAAACAATTTTTTGAGGAAGATCCAAATAAAACAGGAATTTTAAAAACACACCAGATAAGTCTGCCTTTTGATTTATAGACTCAAAAATGTTTTTCCTAAATTTCCTGCCCATGCGCCCATACATTAATTTTCCTAAGAGTTTGAATGTGACCCTCCCGAAAATTATGTGAATTAATCTCTGGATAATATTGCATATTATATCTTGATATTTTCTTTTGAAAAATTGTATTTGTTTCACTTCACTCGTTCCTAAGACCAACGCTTCTTGTGTATAGAACAGACTGAACAGAAGGGACAGAACTTTCACCCAGTAGGGTCGGCGTAATCTTCAATGCAATTGGTGTAACATTATACGTTTACAGGGGTGAACCTTTATTTTTGCAGATTTTGAGATTTATCGTTAGTCTTGAAAAATTGTTTTCATCGGAATCCTCTGCCGTAGCAAGCTGAGGATTATTTGCCACTGTTGTGACAATCGGAATTTGTTTCTCTTCCGACCCAGATATTCTTCCAGCCTGTTTTCTTTAACTACACTGCCGGTCCTTTCTGGCGGATGAGTTGGAATTATTGAGAAATTATCATTAATTTTTTTTGCAGCTTTCTGAGAATTTTTGAACTGTGGAGTTGAGGAGACCTGAGACCTGATTTAAATAAAGTTCACTTCTAAGGATTCCTTTCGGTATGGCCCAGACTTCAGTTTAAAAAACCCTTTGTTTTACACTTAGGCGTAAGAGTAAGAATCGTACTTCTAAAAGTGAGGACTGGAGCTTAAAATAATACTATAAGGCTTATAGTATAAGCAATTCCCCAGATACCAGAACTATTAACGGCCGCACTGTATAATGCAAAAGAACGCAGAGTATTACGAAACTTTTTATCAAATTTGCCTCGAAAACAGGGTAATTTTAAACATCAACCTTCACTATCTTCCCAACAATTCAAAATCAGAAGGATTTTATAGTCAGGCAGTTCAGTAGTTTTAATTAGTTTAGCTACATGCTTGAAATGGTCTGTAAGCGAACACAATGTGACTCAAAACGCCGAAAAAATATTTTTCGCAATATTTTATATTCAAGTTAACTGCTACTTATTTTTTTTATTATTATTAATGATTAAAGCTTTACGAGGCCCGCGGCGGGTATTTCACCGTCTAAAAAAAGTCACCATATTTTTTATGAGTAACGTTTTCCCATCCGACCCCCTGCGTATGTTAATGTGAATTAAAATATCTTTAAATGTGTTGCCGTACATAAGCCGTTCCAAATCATCGCGGAACGTCAGTTGAGGTTGTATATCAGCTCCGGTTGTTTATGTAAGGACACAAAAGTTATTAGATTGAAGTTATTCTTCAATATAATTTAATAAGCTATTTAGTGTAATTTAATTCGAACTTACATAAATCGAATTAGTTTTCAAAAATTTAATTTAAATAAATTGTTAAATTTCTGCTGTTTAATTTTACTAGTTAAAATATAGCTAATTCGATTATATGTAGGTCTAGTCATATGAAACGCTTTCATCTTATTTATGATATTTTGATTTTGAAAAGCCTTTTCGTCCTGACTGTTTACTTTCAATTAAATGTAATTCCCAAGCTTCAGTCAACTAAAGTTAGTTTGAAATCGATAATCCTTTTATTTCATACCTTAATTAATACAACGATTAAAGAAGAACTAAAGAAGGAACTATAGAGAAGAACCAAATATAATAGAAATGTAATTTCAATAAAAGCAACTTTTATTTTAGGTAGTTTTCCATGGTTAGTTGAAAAATCAGTATAGTTAAACATTACAAATAAAAAGTTGCCAACCCCTTCTTGCCGCCTAAGCTTAAACCAGCTAGCTATCTGTAAATTTTCAACCAAAAATGTCAACAGCAAATATGCGTCCAGGCAAATATGTGTTAAACAATATGTCAGTGATACGAATTTGAAGTTAGTTTTTTACTTTTACCTTCCGTGCAGAATTAGCAACGTGACTTTACGGGGAAGGTGAAGTTGCGGGGGAAATCGAAAATGCCGATGTAAATTACAGGCCAAGATACAAGAAAAAAAACGAATTTTTTGTAAGGTTTATTTGAATAGACAAAAATTCCTTGATATTATCAATACATATATTGGTGGGAATAGTAGATTAGACAAGCATTCCACTTCAATTGTGCAAAAATGTAATAGCAATTCCATTCTAAGTAGCTAAGAGCACTCTTGACCAAATGGACCATCTTAAGAGCGTCAAATCCATACTAATAAAATACACTAAGCAGTGGCTCTGTTGTTATCTGTACCAGATCGCCTCATAATATATTGATACAATACACAGTAACAAAGTTAAAATTAACATATCCAACACCTAACGAATGAAATAACTTCATTTTCCTAGTCATCAAATCAGTCGTATAACAGACTCCGGATGAATGACGAAACTGTAGTTACCTTCACAAAGGTTTCTTACATAATTTCCGCAGCTACAAAAATTGTGAGAAAAGACAGGCACTAACACAACAATTTTTGTTACAGATTGGATACTTACTGGCCAAGGAACAAAGAACTGAAAAGTAAGTACGTTTTCGAAACTTTATCTTTTCAAATATTCCAATTTATATTCAAATGTAATACCGGATTTGTGAAGTTAACGGATAATTTAAAGCGTATGACTACTGGAAACACAGTACCAATTAGAGGGAATATATTACTTGGAATATATTTCTACAATATTAATGCTGTATTATTATGAATATTATGCTTAATTAATTCAATTAGTGACAGTTTCTTAATTTTTGAATAGAGTTATTCGCTAAAAATTAAAATGAATAATTTTTATAAAATAGACATTAGCCAATATATTTTATACAATACGGTACGATACGATCTTCAATCAAATATGATCTGAAGTTGAATGCTATCTGAACAATATTGCATTTTAATCTACTGAAAGCAATTTTTGTTTAGAATTTCGAAAAAAAATTAAAGCGAGTGAAATTCATATTCTAAAATTGTCTCGGTGTCGGTCATTCAAAATTGATCTCGGGCGTATTTTCTTGGGGATTTAAAAATTTTCTATTATTTTGGGTAGTTTTCTCAATTTCATTTTGGAACTAATTTTTTTAAAACGCTGTATTAAAGGTTTTTAAAATGTTATCTAAATGCTATTAAAGTAAGTTTTTTCAATCAGGTCATGTGACGCAAATTAAGTAACACATATTTCTTTATAAGAAAAAATACTAATTATTCCCGTGCTTGGAACTCTAGTTCCGGACATAACATTTCCAATATATCAAAAACGGTTCCACTTTGAATTAATGCATTATGCATCTAGGACATGAAATCTAGGTATTTAGAATTTGTAGTAGAATTCAAAATTAAGCAAGTTGTTACCTACTTCCTGTATAACGGAAAGTGTGACCATATTGCAAATATGATTGCTTTATTTGCTGAAATCCAAACCACTTAACCATTTTTCAGAGACTTTCTTTCAAACCATTTGAGAAATAGACCAATCCAAAGATTAAATGGTTCAATGGTTATTAAAATGTAAATATTAGAAATTGATTTGTCTTCCACTCTTTTGCTATGGAAAATTTACAAAAAAAACCGTCGTAAACACGTTACTATGTTACAATATGTTTCCCGAGCCTCTACCTGGATACCCTGTACATCACCTTTTGTCACTTATTTACTTCAAGCCATTTTGGTTTTCAAGTGGAGAGAAACGTGTGCGTATATAACAGTTTTGCTGGCTTTGGACGGGGTTCAGTTAAGAATTTTTCTTACGGTTTCAATTTCAAAATAGGTACAATTGCAAACAAAATTTATTTTCGGAATAAACGGAATTTATCATTTCCGCAGCTTTGGTGCTGACTTGAACCTGTTGTTCTTTAACAACACGTTAACATTTTCTGCAATTTAACGGGAATCTCGTGGTTTTACAGCCGGAAATCCACGATTTTGAGATCAAAATGTATATCTGGTTATGATTGCTTGCGCCATAGTATCGCTTCAAAACTAAATGTATGTCTTCAGTCGGAAATGTATTTAATTAGCATAAGCAAAATATGTCAAATAAACACTAGCTTCCCCTCGCAAGCAAAGTAGAGATGGTTGAATCTAGATAGTATTTCATCAGTTACTGATAAGTGAAAGTTATGAGATATTAGGTGGGTTTCTCTCATATGCTTATAGTTTGCTGATATTTACTCTCCATATCATTTGTTGTATTCTTGTCGACATAGCGTCTAACAAAACAATGTTTACCATGTACCGATTATTTACGCATTTCCTTGTAAATTAAAAAATTCTATTATTATGATATTACGTGCGACTTTTTGCAATTCCAGACTTTACTGCAAAACCCACTGCTTGCCAAAACCTATTTATAATTTAGGGTCAAATAATCGCGCTGTTATTGTTCTAAGTGTGAGTAGGCAGATAGCAAATTTTAGTGGAAAATACCAAATTTTTCGTAATTAGTCAGTTATTACTGCTTTAATACTGGTTTGTTTGTTGTCCATGGAGCTTAAAGGGGAACGCAATAATCAACTTGGACCTTTTACAAGGTAATCTGCTTTAAAATCCCAACAAATTATTGTATCTTAAGAATGTTTTTAAAAGTTTTATTTTAGTAAGTTCTATGGTAAACCTAAGTACTTCTATACCTTTTGTGAACTTTGCAAATTATTGGTGATGTGGTGTTTTGATAAGTGCTCAACATCTCCAAAATGTTCACATAGCGGAACAAGGACAACATTTTATCTTTTTTGAGGCAAAGCTCTTCTTAGCAGCAATGCATTTTGTATTAGGCTGGATTGGAAAAATGGCAACTAAGAATTGAGGAATTGAGTTCAAAAATAGCATTATTATTAATAAAGAAAAGAATTTCGTCCATCGAACATCCGAGCAAGTGCAGGTTTTGCGGTTGCTAATTGAGGGTGCCTGAGGTTAGCGAAACTTGCACTATCTTACATTATTATTAATAATAATTGCGCAAATTGCAAATATGCTAAAATATGCAGAGCCCTCTCGCCTTCTGATAGACATTAACTTTTAATTATAACGTAATTTGACAAAATTGGAAAGCCGGGTACATTGAACATCATAAAAAGTATTTATACTGATCTAAAAATATAAAACAATTTAATGACGTTTCACAACAAATGACACAATGTGCGTGCCAAAGATGACGACTTTCCGAATCTATATTTTACCTCAGCAAAATAACAGAGAGTTTAAACAATGTAATTTTAGAATCCTCGAACCACAACACAGCAATGTTTCCTTTTCAATGAATTCACGAAAAGCGAAAATGTCTCTCATGGAATATTCGATATGAAATGATTTCTTTCCAGGCTTCTGAGGTTTTGGTATAGCAACAAATATCTGTAAACTTTCATTTTATATATAATTTTATTGGCTTAAAGTCTTAGTGAATCAGCAGTTTTCATATTTGATGGCAAACATTTTTCTTTTAGTTATGATCCTTATTCAGAATAATTCATAATTAATTTATTTTATTAGGTATGATTTTTTTAACACAATAAGTTTTAAGAAAATATTACTGTCTACAACATTACACACACACAAAACAATAAAACGAATGATAAAGATTGAAATTTTTCTTTATTTTGCTTACATTTTCAGACGAAAGTTTAAAATATCAATATATTAAGAAAGCTACCGCATCAAATATAACTCTTAGACGTTTAATCTCCAACAATATTGTATCTGGAAAACTTTTAGAATGAAATTTGAAGTAGGATGCACAGATTCACTTTGAGAACGAGGCTGAATGAAAACTTCCCAACTTAATTAATACCCATTTAACTAATTTAAGATTTGAACTTCGATTAAAATACACTACTCAAAAAAGTAACCGAAGACTTCTGTTATTTTTTGTACTAATTACGTCGGAATGGAGTTTACTTCTTTCAAACGACACAGATGTTCTCATAATATTTAAAGGATGTGCCGTTTAAACAATCATGTCTTTCTCAGAAAAACCTTACAAATCAAGAGAGACAGTTGGAGAGCGATTACGACAGACTGATGTAAATAAAACGAAGAAGACCAGTACGGAAGCCTGTGTTATCGCGAATTTATAAATTATACCTTATAATGATATATGAAACTCTTACTACTTGAAGGCATATGGCTATGGATCATTCAGATTATGTCGTTCCTGCATCACAATGGTTCAGAATTAATCTTCTAGCTTGCTCTTCTAGCAATGGAATGGCCAGCGTTTAGTCCCGACCTGTATTTCACTGATAATCTATGGGATATTTTGAACAAGCGTATCCTTAGTCGCAAAAATAGTATGTCACAGTTGTTCAAATTACATATGTCAAAAAGATGTCACGAAACAATTAGATTTGTATTTGGTAGTGACACCAGCTATAGAAAATTGTAAAATTTTCTTTATTTTTTGTTTCCTTTTTAATTAGGAAAGGTTGTCTAAGAAATGAGAGTTTATTTGAATGTCACTGTTTTTGATTGATGAAAACTATGCTTGTTTTGGAATATGTAGACTTCATGTCAATCTTATTAGCACTTGAGCGTTTTTTTGGAGCAGTGTAATTTATCGATTTTTTCAATAATGAATGGTCCGGTAATGCCACAAGGAATTTTAAAGTTCACGTTTTATTTGAGTTTTAAAGTGCCAGAAATGTTTTAAATGTGAAATACTATTTTTAAATCCTTTTGCTTAATGCAACTGAGACTAACGATTACTAAGTAAAGCGTCTTAATCTATGTAGAAAGCCTTACACATTACTTAATATTTCACAAATAAACATTATCATCTCCACTGGCGTTCCAACTTTTCGTCAGTCTTGGCCGCGTTTACAACTGCCCCCAATCCGGTAGAACCTCTACCTCATTTCGACGATCTCAGTCCCATCTTCTCCATATCTCCGCTGACTGCATCTTTCCACCTTTTTCTAGGACGTCTTATAGATCTTCTTCCATCCGGGTTCTGGCAAAACACACTGTTTATCAGCCGATCGTCCCCACTTGGTATCACATCTCCTGCCCATCTTTGTCTATTCGCGTTTATGTACCCTCAGATTATTAGATTATTAATGTTTTTGTATAGACTCACTAAATTTTCTTTTCCGAATATAGTCTCTACCTCGTTGTTTTTGCTCATTTATCCCATTATCCCTGCATGGGCCATATTAGCTCATAAGATTTTTGGATCCCATATCATTATTTTCTAAATATATTTCTCTGTACCTACGGTTTCGCTTCAGTATGCGATTGCCGGTCGTATTGTAGGTCTTGACTTTGGCACTTCGTGCGACGAGTTTTTACCTTAATAGATGTTGCAATTCAAAGAATGCTCTGTATCCCGCCTAGATTCGAATTTCAACTCCTCTTTCCCTTTTGTTATCGTTAGTGATTGTTGTTCCTAAATATCTGAATTCTTCAACTACCAAGAAGTTATGATCGTTTATGGTAACATTTTGTCTTATTTGCTGCTTTTCCTGCTTTGAATTAACCTTGTATTTCGTCTTTTGAATATCTTTGGCTTCTAATCTTGAATGTGTCTATAAAGGGAAAT